AATTTGATTATATAAAAAGTATTTTTTTAATAGTTTCGCTGCATCAAGTGCTTGTTTGATGCTTGGTGGAGGGACAGGATCGTCTTCTTCAACAACGTACACAGCTGCAGTTCTTATCTATTTCGGCAACTTAGAAAGTACTGCTTAATGATTTATAATGCCGCATTGTTGTCGTTAAATAGAGTGAGCGTGACGCTATATAGAGTGTAATATTGTACAGAAGACAATGTAAACCAACCAAGGTCAAGCAATTTCGACGTTTTAAGGTGTTTGTTGTTAAATCGAGTGACGTTATAAAGAGTTTACACTGTATGTTTATACAATTATCATCATCATCATCATAGGGTTGTCAGTCCTAAGACTGGTTGGACACGCATTTCACTCTTTCCTGATTAATCTGAACTAATCTGTGTCTTTCCATAAAACAAGAACATTCCAAATTCTTAACTATTTGTGAACAATAATTTAATCTAGGTTTACCACTACTCCTCTTAATTCCTGCTTCTGCTTCTAATATGTGTCTAGTTAGCCTTGAGAAAGTGTCCTACCAATCTATCTAGCCTATTTGAATAGTTTTTTAGCTTTAGGTTCATCCAATAAGTAAATTAAGCCGGTGTACATCGATTCGAAATTGTTTTCCGGGCTGTTTTGTGCAAAATGGTTTTTAAAAAGTATTTAAATACAAAATGCAAATACTTTTTTGATTTGTTATTTCAAATATAAAATACAAAATAGATTTCCGTTTTGTATTTTAAATGCTAAATGCAAAACGCGTATTTTCAAAATACTTTTTTCAAATAAATACTTTTTTGTAGTACCTATTTAATTTTCCACATTTACTTCAGTATAAAATATTTTTTAAGAAAACCTTGAAGGCATTTGCTCATTTTTTAAATATTGGAGTTTTCCCAACTGCGAAGAATGAATATGATTCGTATTTTTCTGTTTGAAATGATTGAGATATAGTTTTTCTATCTTTATTTTCTATCTTTCAGCAACAAATAATTCTATATGCTTCCTTATTTGCCTTTGTCACCCGTTTTAATTGGAAAAAAGACATTGATGCCAAAATAGTTTGTTTACCGTCAAAGATCAGAGCCAAGATAGAGTTGCAAATAACTTTATTGATGTAAAATCAACATCAATCATTTTATATCAATACGTATGCAACCCCATTTCGTTTCTGATTTTTACACATTGTAATAAGAGAAAGAAATGTAATTCATAGTTTCTTTAGTTTTGGATTCATCTAATAAGTGTTTTTCGAATCGTTTTCTAAGAATTTTAGATTATACGCATTTATTAGCACACCACAATATCTTGTAGTTTTCAGTTTTACACAGCTGGTGTATATCAATTCGATATTGTTTTGCGGATCGTTTTCTAAGAATTTTAGATTATACGCATTTATTAGCACACCACAATATCTTGTAGTTTTCAGTTTTACACAGCTGCTTTATCTTAATGTATATAATTTCGTAGTTTCTGCTTAAGGTGGTAATTTATAACTTCAAAATTCCATGGACCATGATATTGAGCGCGAAAAACAATGTCGATCCAATCTTTTAGATTATCAATTTCCAAGTTTAGAATTTTTTGAACTCTCTTCAGTTAAAGAATTAGATAGAGAGGCATTCACTTAATGTCTCTTTGTCCCCTTTTGCGTTTCTAGTGTCTTCAATGGACAATATGAGCAACTTTCATTCATCATTTTATATAACGTTTGATCGATGATACTATCAAAACTTTTAAAGGCAAAAATGTATTTGCTTTTTACAAATAGAAAATACGTTTTGAAAAGTATTTTAAATAAAATACAAAATGGTTTTCTCAAAAAAGTATTTAAATGCAACATAGAAGTAGATACTTTGCATTTGCATCTCTAAATACAATTCTTATTCCTTTGTAGCTGTAATATTCCACAGACTTTGGCTTAGACGTAAAAATACATACACGTTTCTGTGGAATGTTGATAAAGAAATTGATATTGCGATAAGGTAAAATAATTATGTATTTTTTAAGTAATTAAGGTATGTATGTATGTATGTGCGTCTTTATTTAAGATTGGAGTACGAGAAGAAAGCAAGAAGTAAAAGAACTTCTTATTTTACTGGCTTAGAAGAGCCTCACATGCCCGTGAAAGAAAAACTGGCTCGATTAGCGCTTTCGTGGTCGACACTCTTTCTACTGGTATCTAACATTTCTCTCATATTCTTCTTATAGTTCTTACAGAAATATTCTCATGTTTACCTCTAGGTTTTCAGTATACTGTCGACATTGATACTGAGTGCCATGATGAGAGTTTGGTTTGAATTATATTTTAATCAATTGGGAAGTAAACATGAACTATATATTATGGAATCAAATAGATTTTACGCCATGATAATTAATTCTTCGACTTCGTCCCTTTGCGTCATACTTATGACAGAGGTAATTAAACGTTAAGTTTTAGGAAAAGCAATGAAGTTTAACTGCAATATTTTTTTATTTGGATTTTACTAGCACTGTGATTATTTTATTATTTGTGTGAAACATTTTTTAAATAAGCGTAAAGAAGGATTTTTGAAGTGAAACTTCTTTACGCACAGTAGGGTAAGTTCGTTTTATGCGAGTTGCTATGTAACGAAATCATGCAACGCATTTCCCCGGCTCTCAAATGTTTTCCAAACGTATTTTTCTGTAACACGCGGTAGCCAAGTCATCACATGCCACCTTCAACCGATCCCACCAAATGTGGTCCCAGTGGTTTCAACCTTCAACAAAATAAACCTTTGGCAATTCCACCAGGTATGGCGATGTACAATTTGAATGCCATAAGGGCCGGCTCTCACGTAAGAAGTTCCGGATCTGACAACAGGCCCATACCTAAACCAGTAGTGGGAATCCAATTAAAGGCTTATCGATATTCCAATTTTGGTCCAGTATTGGAGTAGCCAAACATTGACTTGTTAATACTGGTCCAAAATTCGGACAATTTTCAAATATCATTGGCAAGGTTTATCCACAGTGGGAATCCAATCAAAGGCTTATCAGTATTGGTTCAAAGTTCGACCAATTATTACATGTCAGGACTAAGCACATTAACATTTCGCCAATTTTGATCTAGTATTGGAGCAGCCTAGCATTAACTTGTCTATACTGGTCTAAAATTCGAACAATTTTCAAATGCCAAGGCTAGATTTATCCACAGTGGGAATCCAATCAAAGGCTTATCAATATTGGTACAAAGTTCGATCAATCATCAAATGTCAGGGCTAAGTACATTAATGTTTTACCAATTTTGGTTCAGTATTGGAGTAGCCAAGCATTGACTTATCAATACTGGTCCAAAACTCGGACAATTTTCAAATATCAAGGCTAGATTTATCCACAGTGGGAATCCAATCAGAGGCTTATCAATATTGGTCCAATGTTCGATCAATCATCACATGTCAGGGTTAGGTATTTTAACGTTTCGCCAATTTTGATCTAGTATTGGAGCAGCCTAGCATTAACTTGTCTATACTGGTCTAAAATTCAGTCAATTTTCAAATGCCAAGGTTAGGTTTATCCACAGTGGGGATCCAATCAAAGATATATCAATATTGGTCCAATGTTCGACCAATCATCACATGTCAGGGCTATGCAATTAACGTTTCGCCAGTTTTGGTCCAGTATTGGAGCAGCCAACCATTGACTTATTAATACTGGTCCAATATTCAGTCAATTTTCAAATGCCAAGGTTAGGTTTATCCATAGTGGGAATCCAATCAAAGGTTTATAAATGTTGGTACAACATTCGATCAATCATCAAATGTCAGGGCTAAGTACATTAATGTTTCGCCAATTTTGATCCAGTATTGGAGTAGCCAACCATTGACCTGTTAATACTGGTACAAAACTCGGACAATTTTCAAACGCCAAGGTTAGGTTTATCCGCAGTGGGAATCCAATCAAAGGCTTATCAATATTGGTACAAAGTTTGATCAATCATCAAATGTCAGGGCTAAGTACATTAATGTTTCGCCAATTTTGGTCTAGTATTGGAGCAGCCAAGCATTGAATTATCAATACTGGGCCAAGATTCGGATAATTTTCAAATGCCAAGACTAAATTTATCCATATTTCGTCATGTTTGCTATGCTTGGTTCAATATTGGTTGCTAATCTCGGGCCAGAATTGAACAATCTTGGATCAAGTATGCACCAAAGCTCGGTTCTGTCGTAATTTCCTACATGAGCTTTCACGCATTTGAAGATTCATGTCATTCTAAAGGATCTATACGATGAAAATCTATAGTACCCCAGATTACCCTTTTACCGATAAAAACTGCGGACATCATTAGGGGACAAAAACGAATCAGTTATCTATCCTTTTATTGAAGAATTTTATTTTCCTATTGTGTGAAATTATTCGGCCGTTTTTGGTTTTATCTTTTGTTTTTTATTTTCAGTTTTATCGTTACCTTTCGAGTATTTTAACGGAGTTTGAAACTCCAAGAACAAAAACCGAGTTTGGTTATTCGTACATCGTTAAACTGTATGTTTTGGAGTTTGCAAACCATTATGGGTCGTTATTTTATATTGCATTTGTAAAAGTATGTATTCGTAATAATAAAAAAAAAAAAATTTTATCCCATAAACAGATTAATAAATTATTTTATTAAAGGGAAGATTGTACACTCATCCCGGAGATCAATCGTCAAACCCTATTACTTACATTTTAAGAAATGACCATTGTACTATCCCGGGTTGTTTAAACGATCTAAATGTAAACCTTTTGGTACGCATCTGGTTTTTTATAGGTAGAAGTTTTCTTAAACCGATTATTAGGTAAGTATTTTTTAATTATCCTTTTATTATAATAAAGTTTATATCATCAGTACAAGTGTAGAGAAATATTCTTTGCGTACATCGATTGGGAAAAGCTTTGTTGCTACGTTGAACATATGAAACCTTAACAAGTTAAACTAAATTGTGCATCGTTACCTTTACAAGTAATAGTATCGGGTTGTTCGGAAAATCATTTCGTTTTTTCCCGACGGAGGATTTAATTGTATTCTTTTGCACCCAACTTCACATTTAAGCCGTATAATTTTTATATGCTTTGAGAGCTCATATAGCAAGGCTTGTGTGTGAAAAATTCCAATTAATTCTACGCAGTAGTTTTTGGTTGGTGCCCTTTTAAATATGGAGAGCGATAAGCAGCATTTTCGACATATCTTACTGTTTTACTACAGAAAGGGTAAAAATGCTGTTCAAGCCAGAAAGAAATTGACTGATGTGTATGGAGAAGGTGTGTTGACAGTACGCCAGTGCCAGAACTGGTTCGCTAAATTTCGATCCGGCAATTTTGATGTCGAAGATGCACCACGTTCGGGAAGGCCGGTTGAAGCTGATAAAGACGCGATAAAGGCATTAGTTGATGTGAACCGGCGAATAACAACACGTGAGATCGGATTGAGGTTAAATTTATCAAATTCAACAGTTTATGACCACTTGAAAGGCCTGGGATTATCCTCGAAGCTCGATGTATGGGTTCCCCATGTTCTCACAGAGAGAAATCTGTGTCGCCGCATTGACGTCTGCGATTCGCTTCTCAAACGTCACGAAAATGATCCGTTTTTGAAGCGCATCATCACTGGGGACGAAAAATGGGTTGTATACAACAACGTCAAACGCAAGAGGTCATGGAGCAAAAAAGATGAACCGGCTCAAACCATTTCCAAAGCCGATATTCACCAAAAAAAGGTGATGCTGTCTGTTTGGTGGGATTTTAAAGGAATCGTTTTTTTTGAGCTTTTACCGGATAACACAACGATTAATTCGGAAGTCTACTGTCATCAGCTGGACAAACTGAATGATGCACTTCAACAGAAAAGGTCAGAACTAATCAACAGGAAAGGTGTAGTGTTTCACCAAGACAACGCGAGACCTCACACAAGTTTGGTCACTCGCCAAAAGCTTTTACAGCTTGAATGGGATACAATGCTACACCCACCATATTCTCCAGACCTGGCACCATCGGATTATTATTTGTTCCGGTCACTCCAAAATTTTTTAGACGGTAAAACCTTCACCTCAAATGAGGAGGTCAAAAACCTCCTCGATCAGTTTTTTGCCAGCAAAGACCAAAAATTTTATGAGCGTGGAATTATGCTACTACCAGAAAGATGGCAAAAGGTGTTGGACCAGAATGGTCAATATATAATTTAATAAAGTATTTGTTTATTATACGAAAACTGTCTTTCATTTCCACAACAAAAAAACGAAATGACTTTCCGAACAACCCTATAGATAGGCGTGATATTTAATTTTTATTCCTGGCATGTTTCGTCGCATGGGTGTTAATTTTTGCAGTGGATTTTTCTTATACTAACTGATGTCTAACCTTCTCTACAATTAATTTGAATATTCATCATGAAATCTTCAATACACACCCGACGACAGACGCAGCTGAAATTAACAAAGACAAACACTAATCTACTCAGTTGTTAAGGAGACAGGGAAAGCTGCATTTCGAGAGTTTTCATTGTTACATAACACCATAATAAAAATGAGAAAGTGGTTTAGTTTCCTCATTGAGTTCAGCGGATTAGTGATAAATTGTGTATCGCTGCAATATGAATTCTGCCGCTTATACGTTCAGAATATTCTCGAATATTCTAGAATATAATCTAACTTTTAAAAAGTTTGTATCATTCGGGAATATTCTCGAACCTCATAATATTCTGTCACTTTCGAAAAATTTATATCATTTGGGAACATTCTCCAACTTTCTTGAAGATTCTGGAACATTTTCGAACTTTCTGTAAAATTCTAAAACATTCTCGAACCTTCTAGAAAATTCTAAAACATGCTGATCAGAAGCCGGAGCTCAATTTTACTAATTATATGCAGTTCTCTGGGGCAATAGTGTTTTAACCTCCATATTTTTCTTTCTCGTGGAAGGGGCGGGGTGGATGGCTATAGATTATTAATTGATTTTCTGTTAATATTTTTTTTATGGTGCGCGGTTCCTTGACAAAAGTTTTTCCCAGTCGATATAACGATAAAAAGTAATTTAACTTTTTTCGTTTATTTTAGGCGTTTGGTGAACTGTTTTCGTTTTAAATGCAGACCAAAAACAATACCTTTCGATACTCTACCCCAATGGGAGGCCGACTATTACATGACGAAAGTACCAGACACATACCTTATAAACAGGCAATTAAAAATTGGTAAAAATATCGCTTTTATAGTTTTATACTAACCAAGTCGCTATTTTAAATAATTTAGTAAAGTATTTAAAATATCTTGATCAGAAATCGTTTGAAGATGACCGTGTTCGTCGAAACAACTGTACGTATTGTTTGTAGTAATCATTCACGGTTATATGACACTGTTTGCTCTGGTTTCCCCACTTGCCCCCCTGTTTATTTTAATTTATGCCCTGATGGAATTAAGGTTGGAGGCTAAGCAATATATCAAAAATTATCGGAGACCGATTTTAACGAAAATAACTACCAGTACGGTTTTTAGTGACCTATTCATGTTAACAGCATACATTGGAGTTGTAACGAACGTGAGAAACCTGCTTTATTTTACGTATTTAAAAAATAATACGGTAAAGGTCTAGACGATGGCATCTACCCCCGACGGGGTGGGGGGGGGTGGAAAGAGGAGGTCTCCCCCACCACTGTACCATAAAAAGTTCGTGGCGGTCTCACCCCCATAAAAAGTTATGGAGGTTCAAAGTTAATAAATATGCCAATTTGTATACTAGGGTCAATTGAAAAGTTCCCGGCCTGACATATAGATGGCGGCACCAGAACTAAATCCATATGATTTTCAGTTAGTCCTAACCTTCAAAAGACGCGTCTATAAATTTGACGGCTGTCGGATCATTAGTTTGTGAATTATAGCATTTTTAGTGAAGCAACTTTTGTTATTGTGAAAAAAATGGATAAAAAGGAATTTCGCGTGTTGATAAAATATTGCTTTTTGAAGGGAAAAAATACAGTTGAAGCAAAAACTTGGCTTGATAACGAATTTCCGGACACTGCCCCAGGAAAATCAACCATCAAGGATTGGTATGCTAAGTTTAGACGTGGTGAAATGAGCACCGAAGACGGTGAACGCAGTGGACGCCCAAAAGAGGCTGTTACGGACGAAAACATTAAAAAAATCCACAAAATGATTTTGAATGACCGTAAATTGAAATTGAATGAAATAGCAGACACTCTACAGATATCAACGGAACGTATACATCACATCATTCACGAATATTTGGGTATGAGAAAGCTCTGTGCAAAGTGGGTGCCGCGCGAGCTCACTTTTGACCAAAAACAACGACGAGTTGATGATTCAGAGCAGTGTTTGAAGATGATCACGCCTAATAAACCCCAGTTTTTGCGTCGATATGTGATAATGGATGATAATGGATTTACTTAGGTGACCACCTTCTTTCGATCCCCACTACCCCACCCCCATCTAACCCCCACAACTTTTTATGGGGGTGAGACAGCCACGAACTTTTTATGGTACAGTGGTGGGGGAGACCTCCTCTTTCGATCCCATCCACCCATCATCTAGACATTTACCAATAATACAAATAATACATTACATCCCTAAACTAGGTCGTCTTCTGCCTCTTCACTCTTGTTTCTATTTCTAACTATGTATATCTTTAGCTAGCCTTTCATCTAGCCAAAAACGTACTCCAAATACTTATATACTTCCAGTTTTAATTATTTTTTTAATTAGTAGTAAAAAGTCAAGCTAAACAGGGATAAAGGTTTTTTTATTTTTATGAAAAAACAACCGGCGTTTCCCCTCTAATACGAGGCATTATCAGGGAGAGGTTTCTAAGTTTTAATAGTACTTTGTTACTACGTGGTTTTTAAGTAGTTACAATATTAATGTGAAAATTCATTATTAATTTTTATCCACTACAAATTAGCTCAAATTAATCACTACTGAATTTCAAAGTGTTTCACTATTTATAACATTTATTATTTTAATTTTACATTGTGATGTTAATTGTTTTTAATTAATTATTCTAACTACTACGACAAAATAACCGTAATTCACATATTTTGTAACTTAGAAACCTATTCCTGATGATGCCTTGTATTTGTCGATTTTCAATTGTTTTTGGGAAAGAAATGGCAACTAAAAGTAATTAATTTTTTTTCGTTTAGTAATCAATAACATATATTTTTTTTTAAGGCATGCATACTGGCTTTTACAACATCATTTGTAGAAAGAGAAGTTTATAGATACAGTGATAACTCATCTTTATATGGATTCTTTTACAGTACACTTTCAGGTAAATTTAATTGTACCATTAGCATTGTAATACTCGTTTTATGAGTTGGAGTACAGTATTAACAAAGACTTTGTGAAATTGATGTTGTAGTTTTTAATGCAACCCAATATAATTTGGACCAGCGTATGGCTCTTGTTCCCATACCGACAAACTTGACAGAGTGTTATTACCAGGGAAAAAGGTATCCTCCGGAACACGCGCGTCAATACCAACGACGGGAACATTTCTGGATTGAATATTTCTATAAATTCTTAGTCGTCATTGTTGTAGAAGTAAGTTACACGAGTTTTAGACGAGATAGATACGAACAACTAACATTTACATATGTATATCTTTTATTAGCATTTGGTGCTAATTGTTATTACTATTTTGGAGGTCGTAAGTTCACCCATACCGTACCACGTCAAGCAGAGAATGAGATTGGAATGGATTCAAAAGAAAGAACGCCAAAGAACATAATCACAATTATTGTACTCTGATTTTTAACTGAAATGTATTTTTTAGTGTAAAATAATAAAATAATGAATTATATAAAGTATGATAGTCGTTGTCAATGAAAACTGATCGGATTAAACAAAAAAAAAAAAATAAATAAAACTAATTCTGAACGAAAGTGATAAAAATACGTATAAATGTGAATTTATTTTCGTTGTATTCACTACACATTATTTCACGGTCAAATTAATGAGGAAAAATCGTTGCTGCTGTAAAATCACCGCCGGGAATCGAACGCGGGACCTTTGGCTTTGAGTACCAATGCTCTGATCACTAAGCCACGAAGGGTGACAACGGCAACAACGACGAAACGTACACATGAACTTGTATAATACATATTGTAATGTTCGTAGGTTTATTAACTTTTAAGACTCACAACGATAAAAACTATTTATTTACACTAATTATTACTAAATGACTTAAAAACACTATTAAATTATTACTAACTTAGGTAATTATTCTATTTATTTACACTACTGTTACTATTCACTGTTCTATTTATTTTACTTCTATCACTGTTTATTTATTTCTTGATTCACTTCTGCAACGGTCAATTTATTTCTACTCTCCTTCGGCGATCGTCTCTTCCTTTTTATACTCCCTTGCCTCCTTTCAGGAACATTCTCCAGCCGTCTAGAGAAGTCTCGTTTTCTTTGAACGGTTTAACTGCTTTCCCGGAACGCAGGTACAACACACACGTTTACAGATACGGCGCACATGAAGAAAAGCGCCTGCGGCTAGTCGTCGAATCGATAAGCCGTTCACGCACACGTATGTCCGATCGCACACAATCACGGTCGTGGTCGCTACAATATACATTTTGTGCAGCAATTGCCACACAATTTGTGGGCTCAGAATTAATCGTTTTCCGATGTATTTTGCTGCTTTTAAAGTTTCTTTTGTGCAAAAGTTCAATATTTCATACCATTAGCTAGGCTGGCGACAGGAGGGTAGTAATATTACTTAACAAATCGGAATTTATTAGAAGTTGCAACCAATAATTACATACTTTAGAGGCGTATTGTCATTACGTGAAAACTCAAATCTCTTTATACTAGAGTTTGTACAGTAATCAACTATGATTTTGTTTCTAACAACTACATACCATAATATGAAGAATATTTAATCGGAAAATTGGTTATTTAGTTGTTGACTTTCTTCAATATCTTGAAGCATATTGTTCCCTTTACTTATATAATAGTATTGGAATAAGAGTTAACAAATATCGAGTAAAAAATGACTTCGAAAGATTTTGAATTTTTTCGTAAAAGTATGGAATCTACAGGAACATTGACGTTAAAGGAAAAGCCGACATTTTCATATATGATGAATCTATTCATATCAAGATTGATATTGTCTCTGGGCGCTCTTTCTTGTGTAATAAACTTCATAGTCAATTTTTCAAACTCTGAAAAGTTACTCGGCGATCTTCCGACCATTGTAGGAATAGGCACGGCATTTTTGACTAGCGTTGAAATCCTCACTCAGAAAACCAATTTAAAAATACTTCTGGAAAATTTGGACGAAGTCATCCTTCATAAGCGCGTTTTCGTGGAGGAGTCTAAGTTCAAAGGTTTGGAAGTCCTAAATTCTCAACTGTTGTTATATGTACATATATTTACAGGCAATTTTTTTGTGCGACTAGACAAACACCTGGTTAAATTCTTTCAAGGATTTGCTTTGTTCTGTACATTTACTGCATTGTCATGGATGATATATCCGTTACTAAGGGGAAATCCAGATCCCCCAATTACATCTAATTGGTTCCCGTTTGATTCGCACAAGTACTATTGGCCGATTTTCGTATTTCAACTGGTTACTCTCGGTTATTGTATTGTGCAGAATGTGATAACGGAATTCTACGTTGTGAAATCAATCGCATTGATTTGTAGAGAATTTTCAATTTTGATACATTCTTTACAACATATTCGAGGCACACCCGAGGAATGCCACAAAATGTTGAAAAAATGCGTCGTGTATCATAATGGGATTTTAAAGTAATTCGTTTTTGAACTGATGCTATCCTGACCTCTACTCCTCTTAACTCCTACCTCTAATATGTCTCTTACTAGACCTTAATGCTTGAGAAGGTGTCCCACTAACTTATTTCTTATTGACTTCCATCATTTACCTATAATAATGCTTTAACTATTAATTCGTTTTTATCGTCATTATTTCCTTCATGGACTGCGATTTTCCAGTAGTATTTAATGATGGGTTTAAATTCGGGTATGTAGTACAGAGTTGGTTAAAGGGTTTAGCCGGATAAGTATGACGAGTCAGTCCTCAAATGGGAACCTATATCGAAACTTATGTTTTAATATCGCCTTTATGTACTTTTGGCGACTAGCTTTCGCTTTGATCTTGAGATATGGGGAAAAATAACCGTACGCATGGCTTTTATTCAAAGGCATATACGAGGGTGGATTGATAAGTTTCCGGCCTAACCAAGAGATGACGCCACTAGGCCTACCTTGAGGTGACATTCTATAGTACCATCCTTGGATAGCTTGTAGCTATAGTTTCAGCCCGATCTCCTTGCTAGNTGTAACTTTATATATAAAAAAATTAAAGGGTTATTAAATTCTAAAAGTAATGGACAGTTCCAGTCCATGAAGCACGAGAATAGTTTTTAACCACTTAGACAAATGTCTGTTTTAGGGCATGCACAAAACTGCAAAATTTTGCATCAAGACTCATATTGATTCGTTATTTTTACTGTGTCTGCAATTTTTGTTTTACGGCGTACGTTGCTATAACCGTAAGTTAATAATATTCCCATTTTTCAAAGTAAATTTCTATGCCCGCTGTTCTGCCATGGTCTTGCGGATTGTTCTACCTTAAACGTTTCTATATTGTTTTCTGATGCATCCTCGGTGTTGATTTGACCGGAATTGAGTCGCCACAAAAAATATACCCAGTAGACTACGGCAGAATAACAAAAAAATATTTTAAATAGATATTAAAATTTAAACATTTACTTAATATTTTTTAGGTGAATGAAATGAATGGTGATTTAATTAACATGGTTATGTTTTTGTCGATAACATACACGGACATGTTCTTCTTCTGTTGGACTGGAAATCAACTATCTGAACATGTATGAAAATTCTATTTCCTAATTAGAAATTTATTAGATAGTGAGTGATTGTAAAAGTATTAGGTAACAATAGTCGATATACCTAGTAGTAAATCGAAAGTATTAGGTATATGTAACGTATGCCAAGGTACGAGGGTGGATTGATAAGTTTCCGGCCTAACCAAGAGATGACGCCACTAGGCCTACCTTGAGGTGACATTCTATAGTACCATCCTTGGATAGCTTGTAGCTATAGTTTCAGCCCGATCTCCTTGCTAGTGTAGGTTTGACAGCACGCTGAACAAGACGCCTCTGTGGTTTTCGTAAAAATGGAAAAGCAGGAAAATCGTGCTGTCATCAAATACTTTTATTTGAAGGGGTTAACGCCGAAGGAAATTAAAAAAGAGATGGACTCAACACTGGGGACATCCTCCCCGTCATATTCAACCGTTAAGCAGTGGGTTTCCGAGTTTAAAAAGGGTCGTGTGAGCACCTCTGATGGGCCTCGCTCAGGACGCCCCGTTGAGGTCACAACTCCAGATATGATCGAAAAAATTCATCAAATAGTGCTGGGAGACCGCAGATTGAAAGTGCGTGAGATAGCTGAGACCTGTAAGATGTCATATGAACGTGTGCAACATATTTTGCACCAACATTTGCATATGGAAAAGCTCTGTGCAAGATGGGTGCCGCGTTTGCTAACAGTCGACCAAAAATTGATTCGAAAAAACATTTCTACCGCAAATTTGTCATTGTATAAGCGTAATCCAAGCGAATTTTTGCGTCGATTCGTAACCGTTGACGAAACGTGGGTCCACCACTACACTCCTGAAACCAAAGAACAGTCTAAACAGTGGATTGGACCAGGGGAACCAACTCCAAAGAAGGCAAAAACAATTTTTTCGGCGAACAAGGTTATGGCTACTGTTTTTTGGGATGCAAGAGGTATTATATACATTGATTACCTTGCAAAGGGTAATACTATCACTGGTCAATACTACGCAGACTTATTGCAACGTTTGAGCCACGAGGTGAAAATTAAACGACCTCATCTGGCGAAGAAAAAAATCTTGTTTCATCACGATAACGCACCAGCGCACACGTCAATCGTTGCGACGGCTAAAATCAACGATCTAAAGTTTGAATTGATGCCGCACCCTCCTTACTCTCCAGACCTAGCCCCGAGTGACTATTTTCTGTTCCCTAATCTCAAAAAATGGCTTGGCGGTAAGAGATTTGCGGACAATGAAGAAGTAATCGAAGCTGTAAATGGTTATTTTGAGGAGCTTGACGAATCAGTCTATAGAGATGGCATTAATAGACTGGAACACCGCTATGAGAAATGTATCAGCCTTGGAGGAGATTATGTTGAGAAATAAAAAAAAAAAATTTTTAAAAACCTTGTTTTTCTTGGTCAGGCCGGAAACTTATCAATCCACCCTCGTATGTCAGATTGAAACGCGTTCAATAAAAATACATGTTGGTGGTACCCGACGAGGGTGTGAGAACAGCAACAATTTTTTCTTCATTAATCTAAAGTAGTTTATAGTGGGTAGAAAATTGAAAATGAATTTTCATTAATTCATTAATATCTGATATTAAGCACCATTAAATGTCAAAATGTTTCATATACATATTAATAATAACTTATTAGTATGATTTTGCCATCTCGCAGACTTTTAGTGTTTATAAGCATTACGGTCTCTTTTCAACTTTTTGAACAGGACTTAACGTGATTTGAGACGTTGATGAGGGTGATATTTAATGGAAAACCCGTCAGAACAAAAAAACATGAATCATTAACCGTAGTGACGATATACATGTCGATTTTATTTTGGATCCTAAGTAAAAGCTTTGATTTCGGACTCGATTTTAAATTATCGAGTGGACCAAACGTATAACTGCATATTAAATAAAGTTCAAGGCAATTAAGGGTTGGAAGGTTTCTATTTATGAAGAATTAACATCGACGTTTCGCCTGTATTTAGGAGGTTTTTTAAGGTATTAGGTTCTTTAGTTATGTAAGAAAAGGTTCCAAATAGTTTGTTACTTATAACTAGTACATAATATTTAAATAAACATTGATTAAAACAGCACAATTATAAATAAAATAATA